CAGATGGAGCTGCACGATGACAGGACGTCATTCGGCGTTATAGCCCAGATTAAAGCAGTGGCCCCGGATTGTAAATCAACACACTGTATAATTCACAGAGAAAATCTAGCCATTAAGGAAATGTCACCCGAATTAAACTCAATTCTGAGTGAGGTTGTGAAAATTGTGAATCATGTGAAGGCCAACGCACGGAATTTAAGGTTATTTGCAGTATTATGTGAAGATGCGGGTGCTGAGCACACACGACTCATACTGCATGCTGATATACGCTGTTTGTTCAAAGGCAAAGTTCTCTCTCGAGTATTTGAACTACGACATGAGCTCGCCCACTTCCTCCAGTTCAAGAAACCACATTCGTCAGAACTATTCCGAAATTCTGAATGGGTTGCAAAGCTGGCGTACATGGCGGATATTTTTGACATCTTGAATACCTTCAACGTCTCCATGCAGGGAAAAATGGCTTCGTGCTTCACGATAGCAGACAAGATTGATGGAATGAAACGCAAGCTGGATGTATGGAAATCTCGCGTGTCGAAAGATTGCTTTGATATGTTTCACAAACTGTCAGCAACAATAACTGAAACAAACTCGGGACTTGAGATGTCTGTATTGAGAGCCAAGATCAGTGAGCATTAGACGGCTCTACTGAAGCGCTTTGAGATGTACTTTCTGTCAGAGGAAGACCCTCGAAAACGTAATGGATGGATCAGAAACCCTTTTTTAACATCGGAACACCGATTGTCGGTTGCATTGGAGGATCAATTGCTGGAGCTTGCTGCTGATGGTAGCATGAAAATCCTTTTCGAATCTGCAGAATCCTTGGCGTGCTTTTAGATCAAAGCTAGAGCAGAGTATCCTGGACTGGCTGGAATCGCTATCAAAATACTTCTCCAATTTCCATCAACATATCTGTGTGAGACTACTTTCTCAACAATGAGTGTCATAAAGACTAACTACAGAAACCATTTGGACATTCGAGCCCCATTGCGTGTTGCACTGTCTTCCATCGAGCCAAGACTTGATAAATGGACAAATAAAAAATAAACTCTCTTTTCACGCTAACGACAATCTAATGATTCTTATATTGACACAAATTCTACATTTATTAAAGCAATCCTTTCATTATGACGTACATACGTTTTAAAAATGATATAATAGAATAATTATGCATTTCTTATCAAAAAAGTGAACGATATATTTGGTTTTCATCACCGGTCCGTGGGGTGATCAAAGGATTCGTAGCCGGTCCACCGTTTCAGCAAGTTTGAAAAACACTGTTCTAGATGACGTCGCGAAAATCCTGTAAGTTCGACGAACACCTAGAAATGAAAATTAGTTATAAATAAGAGAATCGTCGAGTATGAGTTTAATTCAATGAAGTATTGTGTACAACACTATTTGATAGCATACAGGAATAACAGTAAAAAATTAGCATCAGAAAGAAACCCAATAACTTGAGCACCTTCGGAAAGTAGACTTTCTTCCATAAGGGATAAATTAACAAAAACAAGACAGAAATCATACTAACACGAACTGACGTCACCATCGCCCTTCACTTAGGTATGGCCACACCCCAGGAGAAAGATAATACAGAAGACTGACTAAGTGATTTGAGCCGTTTTGATTACTGTGGTAACCCAAGCCTGAGCTAGGGATAAATCAAATTTATAACTATTTATATCCTGCTGGCAAGAATGTTAACTAAATGCATTGGATAGACCTATAGGCACATTCTCGAACGTATAAGTGAACATTTTAGAAAGTGACATGATAAAAGACCCTGAACTTCACTAGGTTTAAATTTCAGTCAACATGCCTGTAGTAACACACAAAATGACATGTCTTTCTTTACGTAAATCTTTTACACAGCTAAAACCCTCAGCAGGTTGCCTCATTACAGAAGGTTTATTGATCAGCACTAAAAACCTGAACACAAAAGCCAGTTGGTCTGTTCTTAATGTAGATAGGAACTGAGAATACAAACACGTTTAATTGGGGGGGGGGGGGGTGTATAATGCAGATATGAAAGCTCCTATTGGCCTAACACTGACATATATATGAACTGGGGTTCTAGTGTAAGTACATTCTTCTATTTACACACATAAATATATTCATATGTTAATGTAAAGTCATATTTTTAGATAATAGTCTATACAAGCTTTTGTTTGTAATTAAGCATAGAGCTACACAATGAGCTATCTGTGCTCTGCCCATCACGGGTATCGAAACCCGGTTTCTAGCGCTTTAAGTCCGCAGACATACCGCCGTGCCACTGGGAGCCTCAAGCGTTTGTTCCAATGTTTGTTTATACCTTCATCTCTATTCTGTTCAGTTGGGTTTAATGTAGGCCTGAGGCCGAAACAGAACGTCCAATAAAAACATTTGTTTTTGAGGATTATAGAACGCAGTGCTACGGCATAATTTATATTTTCATAAAGTAATAATGTCTGTAAACATCCTGAGAAAAACACTGACCATTTCAGATACTTGCCAATTGATGTCGAAGTTAATTGTTATAATGATTCATATATTTTGATCGTTTGAAAAACTCAATAATAGTGAGTATACGAGAATTCAAAGGTGGCGCCTTTAACCCATTCACCCATAACGTGCGTAGGTAGCCACATTCAATAATAGATAGACAGGTCGACATATAGATGTGGACCTCTTAGAAAAGCAGTTTGTTCTATATACACCATATAGTAAGTACACCAAAGAAAAAAAATGCATTATTTCTATTTGTGTTTTTTATGGAACAAATATAGATATTGTTAGATATTTTGTGTATCCGAGGATTTGCCTCCAAGTATTTCTAATATTTTATATACTTATATATGCATTTGTTTCTGTGAAAAGTTTTTACATCGTATCGTTATTTTAATCGTTTAATGTCTAACTCACCTGTTGTGATTGGTGTTTTTATTTACAGTCTTAAGTTTTCAATAGTAACAGCAACTCTTGAGATTATTTGGAGATCGGGTCTCCCTGATTAAGGCCTACGTCCAAAAATCGACGACGAAAAATTAGTTAGAAAACCCGACTTAGTCGTTCTTTGCATAAAAAAACAACAGAAAAATGAAACAAGATGCATTAACCTATTCATGTAATAACATATTAAGGAGGTGAAAATATTACCTAAAAACTTTTATTATTCTTTCAGTACTCCAAGTACTTTTTTAACATTTTTATTAGCGACTGGATTTCAAGTTTTACTTCACGCTGTTATTCATTTGACGTAAACCTTACCCAGAAATAAGATTATATGCCCTTAACCGAAGAGGAAAAACAAGATTTTATCTTATTTTTGTGTGTATTTATATTTATGAAAATATTACTAAAAGCTATCTGTTGCTGTCCCTAAGTATGAACTAGTGACCAGAGGGAAAACAGCCAGTCAGCAGCAACCTAACATGCTAAGGGATTGAATGTCACTTTTATAACACATCCAGAGCTTAAAGTGTGGGGAACATTTTTTAGAATCGCACGGATTCGAACCCATTTCCTTGCGACTGGTGGAAATCGTTTATATTTTTCTTACCTCTGTATAGTATCAACACTGTAAACTGGATAAGTGGAAGGATCTAACGAAACGTTCCAAACGTTATTTAAACTTCTTGCTTGCTATATACCATAAATAATTATGAAAAAGCAACACTTTTGCTGTCATACGAAAAAATACATATTGTCTGAAATATAACGATATATATATAAAAATCAGTCTCAAAACGACTTAATCTAAATATATCCCGTCGGCTTATGTGTATATATGTATACTTACCTTAGTAACAGTAGATAATGCATTCTGAAACGTCAAAGTATATGTTACAATATATATATTTAGGTTACTCACGCACTATATATGAGTATATGACTGGAGGGGCATGGGCTTGTGATAACGTGCTGTATTGTGGATCCAAGAGTCTATAACTACCTCGTACCGTTACCAATAAATAAATCGCGTTCCACACTTATGGGTTGTGGATGTGTCATATCTCACTCAAGAGGTGGTGGTGAGTGCCGTTAGCTAGCTGTCTTCCCTCTAGATTATCGGTTGAAAATCAGGGACTGCTAGCGCAGATAGCCCATGTTTAGCCGAAACAAACCAAAAACAACTGAGACTCACTTTATTTAACATTCGATTTATTTTTTTATAGATGACATTGTAAATTTATAAAGATGATTTTACACATACACACACGAGTACTCTTGTATAAATTATTATATTTTATTTCACCAGTTTATCTTTTATGAAGCAAATGTAGTTTCTTAATTACAGATCTGGGGGCCTCTGGTAGAGCTCTGTATTTCGAAGCTTCCAAGCTGGTTTCGAATACATGCGATATTAGAAAAAAGTTCCCCGCACTTTAAGCTATGGGTGCATTATAAAAATGACAATCAATCCCTTAGCACGGATTGTGAGTGGTAGGTTGATGCTGACGGTTGCCTTCCGTTTGAGCAGTAGCTCAAAATTATGGACGTGGCAAATAGCCTTAGTAGCTCTGCCATAAGTACAAATAAGTAGATGTACTTTCGATTTCACGTTTCAGACGAATTGAAAGAAAAAAACCCGTTTAAGCCTTTCTAGTTCAGAAGACATGCTTAACATTTCTTGGTGTTATACGTAAATACTACTGGTTGAACCAGAATAACACAGCTAAGTTTAAAAACATAGAAGCGCAATACCTGAAATGAGTGCTTCGTGCAATACACACAGGTAACGTCAATCAGTTCACTTTGTTCTTCAACTTCACATTCATGACCGACAAAACGAAGTAGTTAAGACGACAAACATTTTTATTTAGATATGTTGAAATATTTACAGATTAGAATCATATGTTAATGTTCTAGTCGTAATGAAATATTATACACGTAAATATCGATGTTTGTATCTAGTTATATTCAATAGTTATTTGGATACACATTAATAGGCACCTAACAATAAGATTTTTGAATCTTATTAGAATTTCTTAGAAGCCAAACTTTATTTTCAATTACCCTAAGTTGAAAACAACTAACTACGAAGAACGAAATAAAAGTGATTAGTTTTTCTTGTATTATTTTTGAAGAATAATAGTATGAAAAATTCGAGCTCTTGGTACCGCAAGAAGAAATGTTGAGCCAGATAAATCAATAAGACTTTTCAGCTATCTGCAAGTAAGCTACCATCATCATTAAGTCTGAGATGTAAATCTTGCACTTTATCATGCCAGAAGTCGGAAGATATAACAATTTAGGTTCGAAAACATTCTTAGTATCGTGGTTGTAAATCAGACTTTTACAATGAAGATATCTTAAAAAAAAAACACGAGCATTTAATGACACACACTCTCACACTGGTAAAGTAACTAAGTTTAAACTAGAAATTTATCATACAGAGAAGGAGGCCTTTGACCTCAGAACAGACTGTACATCCTGCTGACGTTTCAATTTTCCCGTTCCTTAGGCGTATAAAACATTTTATTTTAAGATTTTCCGAGACAGTTATAGGCTCTCACTATTTCTTAACGTTTCCGAAAATAGATATAAGTAAATCGGTTCTAGATGTGGCCTTCTGTATTTTGATTTACAAGATGACATTATTTTTCACGTTGGTTTATATATATATATGAAAACACACACGTGTATATACATAATTGCGTTATGAATGCTTTGATGAATTGAATGTTTTTTAAGCTCAATTTTCTTAGCTATGCACCGATTTACAGATTCTATTTTGCTACAAAGTATGTTTTACTGATGGATGTATTTGTAAACTGAACTTCATAGTTATGTTTTATGATCACACTGAAACTTTTATCTACTTTTTTGGACTTACTTTTACTTCTGTTTTTGTTTTAACTATTAATAAATTGGATAATTTTACAGTTCTTTGGATTTCAATTTTAATGGGTAAAGTAAATGTTTCTTGTTAATTTGATTATAATTTATCATTTTACAACTGCATTTTAGGAACCGTGAAGACACATAAGTGTAAATTCTACATACATACACCCTCGTGCGTATAAATAAATAAATAAATGTATATATATGAGTATGTATACATA